GAATTATAAAAATATTAAAATTTCATTTAGAATGTTGGGATTCAATCAAAATTTCACATTATTCAAACAAGAAGATGAACATCAATTTTATATACACATAATTGTCTTTATTTGTAAGAGATTTTTTGGGTGATGACTAAATGAAAATCATAAGGGTTTAGGCCTAAAGTGAATAATATCTTACCAATATGGAGACATGTGTGTGTGAGAGTCACCTGGTGCACAACAAATGTTATCATAGTCGCTAGTTTTGACCAATTGACTGACTTGACAGGTATGATGAAGTTGACTATTGGATTTAGGGCATAAGGTCCTATAATCGAAAGTCTTCCTAATAATGGATCTATATATGGAGGAGACTATTCTTTGTAACATAGAGGGTTAGGAGACATATCATATTATCGTGAGCCAACGATAAAGTGGCAATGCAAATATGTAAAAGCATGATTGAACTTTATGAACCACTATCAAATATACTCGTGGAGTGATGACTTTCGCTACTAAGGGGTGGGGGTGGAGGGTAAATCATGGTCCTTTGTTTGAACTAGGAAAAGATTGTTATAATACAATCAAAGTCTCACATTGCTGAAATAAGAGGATGAACATGAGTTTATATACACATGTTGTCTCTGTTAGTAAAAGGCTTTTTGGATGATGACTAAAAACAAAATCATGAGGTCTTAAACATAAAGTGAATAATATCTTACTAATATCGAGACATGTATGTGTGAAAATCTCCCACTGTACAACATAAAAATAATATAAAAAAGATAAACATGTTTTTTAATTACATCTCCCAACCTTTGCCAAACTTGTAATTAAAATTAGTTTCAAGTATTCGATAAATAACCAAATAAATATCAAAATACTACTAAAAAAAACATTAATTTTATTTTTTTTAGCATATACTCTCAACATGATTCACTTAATCATATTAGGGTCAATTTTTAATTGTGTCATTTAGAATCACAATTGATCGTAGTAAGGTTGGTTTTTAATTGTGTTGACAATAACCTTAACACGACTCACTTGATTTTTTGTGTTGACTTTTCCACTGCATCATTCCTAACCTCAATACAACTTACTTGATCGTACTAGAGTCAAGTATTTAATTGTGTCATCCACAACAATAACATGACTCCATTAATTGTATAAGGATCATTTTTTTATTCATATTGTTCACAACCTAACCATGACTTACTTGATCAAACTAGAGTTTATTTTCTCACTATGTCCTTTATAACCTTAGTACAACTCATTAGCTAGATTGTACCAAACATGATTTTTTAATCATGTCGTTATAACCTCAACATGACTCACTTGAGGGTGAAATTTTTTAAACATGTCATTCACAACCTTACTCGACTCACTTGATTTTACTAGAGTATTTTTTTTTAAGGGAAAAAGAAAAAATAAAATACACATGAAAAAATTAAATAAAGTGGGTATACAAATCTTATCTACGGTAAAGAAGATGATCTAGACTAAAAATAACATAAAGTGATTAATTAATCACATATCTAGTGAAGAAGATGACATGAACCCTTCCAACATTTAAGTTTGTGATCAATTGTTGGAAGGAAAAAGGTCCAAATTTTTGCTTTAGTGTTCAAATTTTTATCTCATTTGGAATTCGTCCTCATCACTCGAGCTCACATCATTATTTATGTTTGCGATTTCTTTTCCAAGACATGTATCTAAGAACCATTGCTTCCAAAGAAAAGAAAAAGCATGTGGCTGTCGTGAAGAGTTTTATTTGGGCCCTAGGGTGATGCAGAAATAAATGATAAAAGTAATTGATGTTTTTCTTTGACCCCACAAGTAATTGTAGTTAAATATGAGTAAACGATCAGTAATTAATTGGTGTTGTTGATTTTTGGTAGTTAATTAGAGAGTTTGAGAAGTTTGAAAAAAAAAAAAAAAGTTTAGGGGAAAGTTAATTTCTTTTAAAAAAAAATCATGGAAGACAAAAGTGGACTTTTTTTTTTTTAAAATATATCAATTTATTTATTTATTTATTTAAATAACCTGGGCCCAAGATTATTTATGCAAATAACTCGTTTTTGAGGTCCAAGTGAGAAATCGGTTACTAGGTAACCGATTTCTCAAAGGAATTTTTAAATTTTTTCTCAAAATCCCTTTGAAAATTCGGTTACCTTTTTTTCTCTCATTTTTTTGGACTTTTTTTTTGGTTTTTTTTTTCAAATTTGTTTTTTTTTTCGATTTTTAATATTCAGATTTAAAAAAAAATTATGATGAATTTTTAAAAAATATATTTAGTTTTTGTTTTTATTTTAGATTATAAAAATCTATTTAAAATAAATTTTAAAGAATAAAATTTAATAAAATTAATTTTAAATAGAAATTTAAATAAATGAAAAAATTATGATAAATCACAACTTTAAATAAAAACAACTATAATTGAGATGAATAACTTTAAATAAAAACAAAATAACAACAACAAAATAGGAGATCGAATAAAAAAAGAACAACAACAGAATTACAATCCACGAAATTACAATCCAACTTTAATGATGTCTATGCCCACCAGTTCCACACCTTGGAGGTTGTCGGTTCCTTGTTGGGTTTCGACGATCAATGCGTGGTTGTTGTGGTTCAACTTGCTCCTCATCATGTTCTATATTAACAGTATCAGTGGCTAGATTTGACAAACCACTTGCACCGACCTTAGAGTGATAAGAAGAAAATGAATGAAAATTCATGCTTTGCATGTAATTATATGCACTTTGTGGCGTGTACGTCGATGCCGAAAAGATTACTCATGAAATCCCCTGTTGAAGTTGTTGTTGATGGTGGGGTGTACATGAATTGTTCATGGTGCGTATGAAATGGTGGATTAGACGGGGGATGTTGTTCCACACTATAAGGTGGGTGGTTATCTCCAGCCATTGGGAATGTTGTTCTAGTTGTTGTTGGGAGTTGTGTACTAGAAGTGGATGCATGAGATGAAGAATACTGGCTACAAAGAAATAATTTAGAATTAGCATGAAACCATTGCAAATACTCAGGAGTGTGTTGGAAAGGCCCCTGAAGTGGTTCCCCAAAAATAACATGTTTGCGTCTGTCTTTCCAAATGGAAATCCAGTCTGCATGTTGTTCAATCCAGTTAGTGTCGCTATATCCTCTCATGTTTATTTCGTTCATTTTATCAAGATTATGAGCTTCATTGGGGATTGGTTGCCATAAGCCAAATTGCAATTGGACTATGTCAGTTTGCTGTCAGACTACAACTACAAATGAAGTTAAAGCAATACAAGAAGTCTATAATCTAGAATCCTTAAAAGCACGTGTTGGCAGTAAGGACTGAAATTCCCTATATGGCATCCATAGAAACTGAAAAAGAAAAAGGTTTAGGGTATGAATCAATTGAGTATAAGAGAGTATGTTTGAGAGAATTTTACATTGTATTACCTCATTATGGTTCATGTTGTTGATCGAAGCCGTATCCGGTCAAATAAAACAATTAAATGTAGTACTAGGAAGTTGTCCTAGGTCGTATCCCAAGGACCATTTTTCTCTGTCAAAGGCTTAAACACGAAGTGGGGGGGGGGTTGGTTTAGATTTTTTTCAGTTTATAACACAATAAAACGCAATAACTTATAAAAAAAATATAGATTGACTCCCTGTTCAGATTACAACTCTTTTATCCCTGGTTCTCAAAATATTTCTCTGTTCATAACTTAATCCTTGTTCCATCCGAGTTAACCAACTAAGCGAAGATTAACTCAGGATTTCCCTACACGAATTAAGCAAATGTATACAACATTACACCTCCCCACAAGATTAAGCAACCTTTGAGCAACCTGATTCATTAAGCATGAACCGGTGTCAAAAACGTTTCAGAGGTTCAATGAAGAAGAACAAAGCAGAACACAGATACAAATACGAATAAAACCTCAAATAGAGATTACAATCTGCTCAAGGAGCCAACCCTAAGGGTTTTAGCTTTCCATTCAACAGAAATGAAAACGAAAATGCAAGGAAGAAGGAGAAGAAAATGAAACTAATAATATGTATTCCTTCAACAAATATGCAGTCTCAAAATACAACCAGCAAAACCAAACGTGATTGGAGCAAAAACGTGAAGAATAGAGAGAAGAAAAACAAAGAGGAAGCAAAACGTAAAGAACAAAAAGGAGGCTCTCCCCAAACGTGATCACATCAGAATATTCATGTTAGTGGCTGCCAAGTTAGCCCTAACCTAGACTCCTATGACCTAAAATGAAATTGGGCCCCCATCTGGATGTGTCTAGCCCGAAAATGAATAATACACACTAACATATTTATAGTTATTTTAAAATGGCTACATCCTACTTGGAAGCTAGTTGGTCATATTTACCAAGTCAGTTAGCAATTGGTTGCTTAAAATCCTAGAAAATATATTATTATGATTCATCTATAGATTTTTATAATAATTATTTTGAAAATGACATCTACTCCAAGTTTAATTAATGATTTATATAATTATTTTTAATAAAAATATTAAACTGTTCTGGTATTGCTAAATAATTCTGTGATATTTAGCATTTTCTTAAGAAGACACCAACAATCCTCCACGTAATTGACAACACCATGTAGAGTAATAGACCAACGTAACTCACTTGTGCTTTTCTGCTGCGTTCTCCACAGTTGAACGTCATTGTTCCATTGACCCCAGCTTCGAATTTGTGGGCCCCACCTCACTTCTCTTTGCAATGAGTTAAAGGGGTAGTTCTGTAAATCACCACCGTTTCAAATCCCAAAAAACAAAAAAAGAAAGAAAAAAAAAACATAAAAGAAACGAAACTTATAGATGACAGAAGAGAATAGGGCGTTGCACATACACAACCACATCCCCACTCTTTCTTTCTGATTTTATATATAAATATAATTATAATAATAATAATAATAATATATTATATAAACATATATAAATTATATAAATAAATAAATAAATAAATACTCATGCTTTTGTAGTTCACTTTATATCTGCACTTTACTTTGTTCTGAATTCTTCTTCTCTGCTTCCTCCTTCCTTCCTTTGTTTCTTCTTTCATCTGAGTTTGTTTTTCTCTTCAGTTTTCTTTCTTTCTTGAAGCTCTTTGTCTGAAGAAGCTTCAACAATGGCTGACATTACTCATCTACCTATGGAACAACTTCAAGACCTTGAGTACTGCATAGACTCCAATCCTCCATGGGGTACCATGTTCCCGTCTCTCTCTCATTTCAGTTCGTTTCTTTTCAACTTTCCATAATCCACACTCATGCACAAACAAGGGCTTGTCAATATCACTCTTTTTGAACTTGCTTATTTCACTCCTCATTTACTCTTTCTATTTTTGTTTTGGTTTCTAATGTGCTTTTCCAACTTCCCTTAAGTTTTTATTATTTTTTTATTATTATCTTTTTCTATTTTGGAGTACCGTGATGATTTTTTTTACTTCCCAAATGGCAAGTTGCTTCCTTTTGCTATAACAAGCTCATATGAATTGAGGAAATGAGAGAAAGTTCTCTACTTTACTTGAATTAAAGCTCTTCCTGTGTTGGGGTTTTCTGTGATATGTTACTGAACGTTTCGGAAGAAGTGTGAGACAAGACTGTTACATTGGTCCCCAAAATGTGGACTTAAAGTTCATATTTTTAAGTTGTTGTTGTTGTTAAGATAGAGTGGGACTCTGCACTTTTCTGTTAGTTTGTTTGTGTTTTTTTAAAACTTGTTCTCCTTTCTGTTTGGCTATGTTTTCCCAGGAGGTTAATTTTTTATTTGAAATCAATAAATGCACATGCTATGACGTTCTGTTTTTATTTATTTATTTATTTAATAGACGTGCCTTTCGTTATCATTTCGACTTGTCCTTAGCTATAGCAAAATAAAGCTAGTAATCATGGCATTATATGGTAGTTACCATTTTACCCTGTCATTTTAGAGCACTTTCAACTGCTTCTCGAGTAACAATGTCTAAAATGTAATGGTCCCACTTCTAATGATTTATAATTCACCGTAATTTATCGGAATTGTTTTACTTTTCTGTTTAATTGTGTTCTGGGGTTCTTGGATTCTCTTTGTGGGGTTATCTGAAGCTAAATAAATTTGAGGAACGTGGTACGTTACATCTAAGAACTGAACTAGTCTCTCCTGGTATAATGAAATTGGAAATATTTTATGAGTTTAATTTTCATGACCCTATGTTTGATGCTCCAAGGGCAGTAATGTCCTTCCTTGGAATTTGTATCCTCTCCTTATACTCAATTATGAGGAAGAAGGACAATTTTTTACCGTCTTCAACAAATTTGTACGAAAGAATTTTGTGTCTCTCTTAGGAGTATGATATGATTACCAATATTTATGTCACTAGCAAGTTGGTAGTATTATTTAAGGCTTATTATATATTGTTCATGAGAAGTGAGTCTGTAATGCCACTTTAGATTTTGAAATTTAATCCTTATTTTTTGAGTTAGGAGTTTGGAAACAATGTCTTCGGTGCTACATTTCCAATGTTGGGAATTGTATGTTACAAGAGAAACCAATTATCAATATGATGATTTAAAGGGTATATTTTTACCAATTATCTATTTTTTTTTCTTCCCTCACTGTGAATGACTTTTATTGCAGCTGAAACCATCCTATTAGCATTTCAAAATTACATATTGATGCTGGGTACAAGTGTGATGATCCCTTCAATGCTTGTTCCAGTTATGGGAGGAAGTTCCGTAAGTTGAATTTGTGTCCTTATGTTCTTTCTTCCATTCAACATCTTTTCTAATACCTCGAATGTTTATCATTAGTTTAGATGTCCTCTATTCACAAAGCCACTCAGACTTTCCGACATGCATTTGTTCTGGTCTACATTGTAGGATCATTCAGATATTCATCTAATTCATGTTGTCTCAGTTTAACATTTGGTTTTCTAGTTATTTTTTTTGTCTATTTTTATTCTAGGTCCTTTTTTACATGTTATTTTTTTTTGTCCATTTAGCAGGATCTGTCATTTCATATGTAAATCACTTGTTTCTTTTCACAGTCATTTGATGCTGATTTTATCTGTTAGTGATTTGATTTCTTGTTCAAACAGGGTGACAAGGCACAAGTAATACAGACACTGCTTTTTGTAGCCGGCATTAACACACTTCTCCAAGCACTTTTTGGAACAAGACTTCCTGCTGTAGTTGGAGGTTCATTTGCATATGTAATTCCAACTGTTTATATTATTAGTGACTCCTCATTGCAACGAATTAATGATCCTCACGAAGTAAGTTTCCTACTTGTACTCTTCACTTTTGTGTTGTGCATTTTGAAGAACATAAAAATTTAAATATTGGCTTTTGATTCTTAGTGTTAAACGACTGATCAAGAAATATCAATGCCTGATAATTCTTCTATACTTCTCTCTTTATGGATACTGGATATGTGATGGGTGATGGATCTTCCCTGAATGCTTTTATAGCAACAACCATTTTTAAAGGTCATAGAAGCCAGGATTTAATATTCTGGAGTGGACAAACTTCAATCAATAATAAATAATATTTGTAAAGGGAAAATAGGAGGATTTTAGTAGCAAATATGCTAATTACTGATCAACCGGAAAACCACTTGTTAGTATTTACGAACTATGTTGAATCCATATTATGATGTTGTAGATTACTTGTAGAATCCCATAGTTTATGCATCATGGTACTAGGTAAGTCCTAAATCTTCAAACTTAATTGTAGTCTTCAAACTTAATTGTTGGACACACTTTAATAATTTTTTCTGTTTGAAGTTTAACTCCCACTGACATGTGAGCTAGATGTTTGGATAGATGATAGTGGCAACCTAGAATACTTTGGGGGTCTGCCATAAAAGATTATTTAAGTTTTATTAGAAACATACTTAAAATACTTTCTTATTTGGTAGGGTATTGAAAGAGATCTTGCAATCTGATTGGTTTGCAGAGATTTTTACAAACAATGCGAGCTATACAAGGAGCTCTAATCGTAGCCTCAAGCATTCAGATAGTCCTGGGTTACAGCCAAGTATGGGGACTTTTCTCAAGGTATTCTAGATGCATGTAACATGTTTGAAAATTGAAAATAAGACAATGTTCTAGCATTTACTACTATATGAATTTCTCCAGATTTTTCAGTCCTCTTGGCATGGCACCTGTAGTTGGATTGGTTGGATTAGGGTTAATTCAGCGAGGATTTCCTGCGGTAGGTGTGACTCAACCTATTTTATTTGTCATGGTTCTAAACATTTTCAAAATGATCTAATGACAGGGTATTTGAATGTCTATCTTGTTATCATATCTTAAATCCACATTATGAAGTTTTCAGCTATTTGATCTAAAGGTTATTCTTAGCGATAAAAGAATAAAATACAACTCAGGAACATATATCAAATCCATATTATGAAATTCTCAGCTAGTTTAAATTATTACGTTAGTAAATTTCATTGCTGAAATTTTGAAATCTAATTTTAGCTTCTAAAATTGAGGGCTTCATTTAGTGTTTTCTTTTTCCTTCCTTTTTTGAGGTAAAAATGCTTAATCTAGATTGTCTTTCTGCAGTATTTAATATCGCATAACTTGTCTACTGACACTAGTTGTGTGGATAACGTTTTCTTTAGAAAAATATACCATGCTCACTATAATATGTTGGAAACAATATTTCCATAATATTTTACATTATTTTCTTTATTATTTTTCATTTCAGTTGGGGAATTGTGTAGAAATTGGCATACCAATGCTTTTGTTGGTTGTTGGGTTGTCACAAGTAAGTGATTTAGTATAACCAGAATGTACTATTTATCAAGTTATTAATATTTTCCTACAGACAAACTAATTTGTTGTAAATTGCAGTATCTAAAGCATGTGAGACCGTTTAGAGACATTCCTATCTTTGAGCGTTTTCCAGTTTTAATTTGTGTCACAATTGTTTGGATATACTCTGTCATCTTGACTGGCAGCGGAGCTTATCGGCACAAACCCACCATAACACAGAATAGTTGTCGCACTGACAGAGCTAATCTAATATCTACTGCCCCATGGTACCTCAAAATACTAATTTATATCGTATGATTTGTGTTAGTTTTGGTGAGTTCTCAGTTTATTTTTTCTTAATGCTAACAGGTTCATGTTCCCATACCCTCTCCAATGGGGTCCACCTACATTTTCTGCTGGCCATTCATTTGCAATGATGTCTGCAGTTATTGTATCAATGGTGGAGGTATCTATTTTCGCTCCTAGTTGTCTTTTATTCTGTTCTTTTCCCACTTCTCACTAGTCTATCAAGACTCAAACTCTCTCCATTTTGGTGAATTTCCAACAATGGCTTGACCATTCACTTCTCTTGCAGTCAACTGGTGCATATAAGGCAGCATCTCGTTTGGCAATTGCCACTCCACCTCCTGCATATGTGTTGAGTCGTGGCATCGGTTGGCAGGTAAGTTTACTTTGTTGTTGGTGCAAACAATGCACTATTCAGTTGCTTAATGTGGATACTGTTAATAATTAAGATAATCAGCATTCTTATTAATACTATTAATAGTTATGGATGTGTCTCGGAGCTTATTCTGTTTAATTTTTGCACAGGGGATTGGTATTTTGCTTGATGGTCTCTATGGAACGGGGACAGGTTCCACCGTTTCTGTGTAAGTCTCTCCCTTCAGTGAATTGCTAGTACAAGTTGCTCCATGTATACTACCTTTTATATTTTTCTATGGTGGCTTGATGAGCATCATGTCTGTGTTCCAGGGAAAATGTGGGACTCCTTGGCCTAACCCGAGTTGGAAGTCGAAGAGTTGTTCAAATTTCTGCTGGTTTTATGATATTCTTCTCTACCTTAGGTCAGTATTGATGTTTCAAACCCAAGTTCTGACTACAATAAAACCAATCCAGATGCAAATCAGTAGGGGTGTGCAAAAAAATTCAAATCGATATAGTTTATAAAATCCAATCCACTTTGAGAAAAAAATTGAATTGATTCACTTTGTAAAAATGGTTTGGTTAACCGATCCATTTTTAGAAAGTGGATTGGGTCAGTTCAGATTTGTGAAAAATTTGATCCACACATAAGTTTAAAGTGGATAACTGAATTGTATCAAATCGATCTAATTTACAAAAATCCAATTTATTTTATAAAATTGATTGGTTTGGTTTAACTTGGAGTTTTCAAAAACTCGATCCACGTACAGCCCTACAAATCGCTTGATCAATGGACGCTGTTTTGGCTTTATAGCAATAATAAGCAACGAGAAAAAAGAAGACAGTTTCACTTACTTTGGTCTTGTGCTTTGTTTCACTTGTGTTACCTGCAGGAAAGTTTGGAGCTGTGTTTGCATCCATACCCTTCCCAATATTTGCTGCATTATACTGTGTTCTCTTTGGCCTTGTTGGTACGTAGTAAGATTTCACTGTTATAAGATGTTCCAGTTCCTCTATTTACTCATACTTTTCCATGTTCATCAGCTGCAGTTGGCATATCATTTCTTCAATTCACAAACATGAACTCTATGAGGAACCTTATTATCACCGGGCTCACATTGTTCCTCGGAATATCTGTTCCTCAATTTTTCAATCAATACTGGACCAGTTCATACCATGGTCCTGTTCATACGAATGCTGGATGGGTGAGTGTTCCTTAAAAGCCATGAGCTTTTACATTTGACTGTCATTGTTTGAGGTTCTATTTGGATAAACTTTCCTAGAAGCACTTGTAAGAGAGCAAAATAAAAAACAAAAATGAAATAATCAAATAACCTTCTCCATGCTAAAATTAACTTGTGTATAAGTTATTTTGTAAAAGATTTCTACTATTAGCTTTTCCAAAATCTTATTTTGAACTGTGCATTAGTTTTAACTTATGAAGAAGTTTATTTTGAATTTCCTTCCTATTTTGCTCCTTTAGCGGTGCTTTTAGAGATACTTATCCAAACATGAGCTAAATTAGTAATTTAATCTAAAAACACTACTTTTTGGTAATTGCAGTTCAATGCTTTCTTAAACACCATATTCTCATCACCGGCAACAGTTGGTTTGATTGTGGCAGTGTTCCTTGACAACACTCTGGAGGTTGAAAGGTCGAAAAAGGACCGAGGGATGCCATGGTGGGTGAAGTTTAGAACATTTAGAGGAGATAACAGAAATGAAGAGTTCTATACTTTGCCTTTCAATCTCAACAGGTTCTTCCCACCTACATGATGGAAAATGAGAGCCAGCAAGGGTAGATTAGGTTTTCTTTGAGTTACACATGCCAGAATTCATCATGACTAACAAATGCTATTTCTTCCTTTATCATCATCACCCATTTTTTTTTTGTTGACCATCTAAAACCTTGGTCCAACAGAGGATTGTAAAGCATTTGGGGACTATGCTGTGTAGATTCAATAAAAGTAGGTGAACGTGTGTTTTGATACAAGGATGGCAAAGTTCTTTCTTCAAAGTAGGATCAGAACTTCAGAAGTAAATATTCTTATTAATGAGAGTAATAACTTCAATGTCAACAGCTGAATTTAGTCAATCAATTTACTATTCACGAGTGATGATGTTATGCAATTCATGCGGTTGATTCTTTTTTTATTATTTATTATTTATTTATTTATTTATTATTATTATTACTACTTTTTTATGGATAAGTAAAATTACTATAGCGACAACGAGGTTTAAATATAGGATATTGACATTGTACATCAAGTAGTTCTTTGTATAGTTGATTTCACCTAATAGAAAAAAGCTTTTGTCGTTGTTATACTATTAGTAGCGAAAAAAGTACTATGTGCCTATTTGAAAATAAAATGGGTAGTTATTTTTAACAAAATGTGTAGTTATTTTTTCTATGCATATAAAATAGGGCATAGGTATTTTTTTTAAAAAGTGGGCATCAAATAAATGTACTTGTTTGGCATGGTATCAATAAAAAAGGGTAAATAATTAGTTTTTCAAAAAAAAAAAACAATCAAACACGTAATATATTTACTTTTCTTGTGGTTAGCGCACTATAAAAGTTACTTTTGATTTTATTTTATATGATTCTTGGTTGTAATCTTTCTTGGAAATCATTTCATATAGGACAATACAAGAACGTTTTGTTTGAAAATCTTTTAGCAAAATAAAATGCCTTTCAAAAGGCAAATGTCGAAGTTAAAAACACGTGAAGTTTCATACAATATTTTGAATATTAATTTATAATGAAATTGCATAGTAAATCTAAACAAAAACTATTTACCAAGTTAAAAAAGCAGAAACTGAGAAGAGCAAGGCAGATGAGATTTATCTTAATTTGCTCAACCTAATAAGATTTTCATTATTATAATTTAAAATACATAGCGACACAACACACTTTTTAGGGATTTGCTATATTTTGTATTAGCACTTTTTTTTTGGTGTTGCAAAAATTTCACTTCATTTAATTATTTCCTTTTGTACAGAGCAATATACAAAATTCAAAGCTTATATTTCATTTCAAATGTAATACGGGATTTCAAGACACAATGCTTCATATGATATTTCTATGAGATTTTTCTCTTCGAATTTAATATTTATCTCATTATTATGCACATTATTGAAGATTTTACATTGGTTACGAATAAGCCTATAATAGTGTATATAAGTGGAGAATTTGAGTCTAACTCAATGTTACAAAATTGACTTATAAGGTAAGAATTGTTTTTTTACTTATATACATCATTATGGTCTTATTTCTAGACGATGTGGAATTTCTAGCACACACCCCTCATGTTGATAATTGAATATCTTGAACGTGAAGTTTGTAAGATGGACAGCGGGTGGCTAAATAAAAGGTAGCACAATATACCTAATAACAATCAATAATCACTAGACAACTACGGGTGGCTAGATAATAGGTAGCACGATATACCCAATAACAATCAATATTACTAAAATATAGGCTCTGATATGCTTTGATACCATCTTAGAAAAGTGAATTTATAAATCTAACTTGACCTTACAAAATCTGTTTTTAAGTTGAGAATTGCTCCCTACTTATATATACTATTATGACCTTATTTTTAGACGATGTGGGATCTCCAACAGACATTTTATCTAAGAGAAAATAGGTGATGTACTAATAGTGTAAACTAGTTTTACAAAAACCACCATTTATAGTAACTTTTTGAATTTTACAATGAAAATGTAAACAATCATATTAATGGTGAAATCTAATTGGTTGACAGGGAAACACTATTTTACATTGTCAGTGCATGATCACTAAACTTTTTAATGACATATTGTCCCCTAAAGGTTCAATTACAAGGGCTAGCTATGTCAAAGAGGATGAAGGTGAATGAGCTCGAGATAAAGATTTAAGGTCTAAACTCCTTTTGAACTATAAGTTACTTTCTTAGTCCATATCTTATATATATATATATATTGGAGGGTTCAAACTACACCGGTGTAACTTTTACTAAGTGTTACACCGCTCAATAACTTTATATTAAATGTGAATTTTGAAAATCCAACCGTTAGATTGAAAGTTCATATCTCTTAGATCATATATATCAAATTTCATATTAATCTAAGATGATTTGACATTTCATTCTCATAAAACAAAATTGACGTAATATATACATTTCAAAATATACTAAAATATGAACAATTTGATTACTTTCAAGTTGTTCAATTTTAACAAAATTTGATATACAAGATCTAAGAGATATGAACTTTCAATCTAACGGTTGGATTTCAAAATTCACATTTAATATAAAGTTATTGAGCGGTGTAACACTTAGTAAAAGTTACACTGGTGTCGTTTGAACCTTTCTCATATATATATATATATATATATATATGAGGAGAGATCTTTTTATTCCAGGAGTAAGTCTACCTAGACTAACTCCGTTTAATAACTCATGTTCTACATCAAATTTCAACGATCCAACCGTTCAATTTAAAGTTCTTAATGCATAAATCAAATCTGCAAAGTTTCAGAAAATTTAAAAATCATTTGATACTTCGTTTCATTAATTCAAATCAATGTATAAAATGATTTTATGATTATCTGTCAATTTGAATTAATGAAATGAAGTATCGAATGAAATGATTATCTGTCAATTTGAATCAATGCCCATGAGGTGGACATCCACTTCACCCTACATTTCTCTGTCATTAGTTAAAACAAACCCAACAAGTCACATGTTCCACACACTAGTTACACGTTTGACATGCTTGCTTCTATGCCCCATGTCGCAACCCAAAAATTTTGATCTTGTGACCAATGATTTATACATCCTTTTGAAAATCTCATCAATTAAGGAATTCCCGGATACCAGACTAATCCTTAATTAATGGTTTTGACAAATTGGTTCTTAGGAGTCGCCACCAATGTTTTACTCAAAATATTGGAAAAAGAAAAGATTTTCGAAAGTCCAATAATGACCTTGATAACCAAAATTGGGTTTGGGGATCGGTTACGTGAAGGGAAGGTATTAAGCACCCATACAATGCCCTCAATCGATACCCTTATGATGAAGTTAGCATAGCAAGAATTAATAAATTAAATATTTGATCCCTTTATTAATGGTTATTTACATGCTTGAAATTTAAATTGCACAATTGACCCTAAAATTTTACATGATTGCTTTTATTATAACAATGTCTATTAAAGATGAGAAATAAAAGAGAGAAAAGAAGATTGATTGAAATACCTTGTAACAAACTTTGTTAGATCTTCAAATATAGAAGTTCTAGTGTGCTTTGTGGAAACCTTTAACACTACACAAATGCCTTGCAAATCTCAAGAAATACAAAAAGAGAGAGAGAGAGAAATTTTGAGCTCAAAGGAGTCTTAAACAAAATTTTCAGGCCTCACAAGAGGGAGAGAGAGAGAATTTTCGAGCTTAAAGGAGTCTTATACAAAATTTCCCGGCGCAGAGAACAATGCTTGAGTCTACTATTTATAGACGTTAGAAGTTGCTAGAATGGCCTATTCTGGATTTGGAATGACCCATTCTGGGCCGGTTTGTTATGGGTAAAATATGAATCTAAAATGGCTCGTTCCAGAATTAGAACTACCCGTTCTGGGTTCGAGTTGTACTCATAACAACCTATTATGGAATGGCTCGTTCCAAACTAGGGTTTTATGCCTTTTTAGGAACTTGGAACGACCCGTTATAGTTTTTGAACGACCCATTCCCGTTTTAGAACAGGTTGTTCCAGCTTGAGAATAGCCACTTCCAATTTGAGAACGGGCCGTTCCATTTTGGGAACAGCCTGTTCTAGGCTACTAAGTCACCCTTTGTTGGGCTTTATGCCTTCTGATGTCATGTCCTGTTGTTTCCATGCTTTGGGAGCTCCTTTCCTTGATAATGAACGTCCATTTCATTGCTTTTATGGGCCTAGACGAAATTGGGTGTCTACAGCTGCCCCTCTTTACTTGTCCTTTGAAAAGGCTATGTGTTGCTTTTCCAAAGGCAAGTAAAGACGTAGACATTTCGTCGAGTTTTCTCTTCGTCTCTTTGGTACTGGCGCTTCTACGTTGCTTCCTTTGGATAGGTGGATTTTCTTGTATCCTTGCCCTCTAGAGCAATTGAGTGTTGGTTGCATGCTCTATCGGGTAACAAGGGTGAGAAACTATACACCTGATCTTCAGTCTTCGAGTAGATGCTCCATGTCATTTGCTCTAAGAGCTTCTCTTGTGATAGTGAGGTGGAGATTTGGGTCTTCTCTTTTGTTTTGACAATAGACACCTTCACTTTGTTTCTTTCGGGTAGATGGTGCTTACCTGTATCCTTGTCCCTTGGAGCAACTAAATGTTGAGTTGAACGCTTTGTCAGGTGTTAAGGATGGTAAACTGAGACATCTAGGCTTCAAGATCCATGTGAATGCTTCATGCTACTTTTTCTCGTCTCATGTAGTGTGTTCTTTTATTTGTAACTTGTTGAAGAGAGAGTATTTTCGTAGCTCAGCCCTTCCAGGCTGGACAAACATTTAGGGCTTTAGCCGACCCAATGCTAGTTTTGGGGTCTAGCAACCCTTTCCGATCTTGATGCTGAGAATTATTATGGCTGGCCTCTCCAGGCTACTTGCTGATGTTGAGTATTATTATGGCTGGCCTCTCCAGGCTGCCTATCGATATTGCGTATTATTATGGCTGGCCTCTCTAGGTTGCCTGCTGATGTTGAGTATTATTATGGCTGGCCTTTCCAGGCTGCCTGTTGATGCTGAGTATTATTATGGCTGGCCTC